GTTTGATGTTTTATTCAGACTGATGCTGTATTTAAATAACAAGCTGACAAAGGCATAGAACAGCTTTGATACTAGAGGTTAAATTATTTGAAGAGATCAGAAACTTGTGATAAATTGCTTTTTGTAAATGTATTTCTTTTCGATGAGCATTTATAAGTGATTATCGTGTCATTTCTTGGTCCTGCCTCTGGAAATGTGCTTTGTGAAGCCACATTTGGCACATACTCTTTATGCTGGTCTTACACCATCCTATTTATGTGTTGGTAAATGCCTATTTTAACTGGATAATGTCAAGTGCATTTCATTGTAATGTATCAGGTTTTTGTATTTAAACATTTCAATGACTTTTTTTTTTTATGGTTTGTGTAATATGCATATATCTGCAAAAGTTCTGTATTGTAAATATCAGTTTGTAATTAAAAAGTGAAAAACAAATTGGTCTCAACTGTTTTTTTTTTATTATAGGCTTGTACGTGCATATTTAAGAACACTTTTATGAACGAGCTGGGGTTTGTGTATAATAATAGAGGAAGGAAGGAAGTTTCTTCTTCATGACAATCACATTTTTGCTGATATTTTACTGTTTTTATACAAGGAAAGTCCAGGAACAAAATAAAAGCAACTAAACTAATCCTGGGAAGGACAAGACCTGACCAAGAACATATGAAGCACTAGGGCTATATGTACAGACAGGGCCAATAGACTAACAAGAAAACAAGATGACAATTAAGGAACTAAAAGTTGAGAAAAACTACAGCGAAAAAAAACAAGACACTACAAACAGAACAGGGGATATGCAACAGTTTTCAGGTTCAGATTTATTTAGGTTCATACACCTTTTGCCCAGTCGATCAGTTACACTCAAAAAGAGCAATTCTAGCCAATGGAGTATTTTACAACTAATCAAAACTAACATTTGTAGTCACTATAGACATGCCTTTTAAAGATCTAATTAATACCTGAGAATTACACTTTTAAAAGGTCCCAATATTCACGTTTCGGTTATGATAACATCAAAATTGGTATATACGATATATATCCATTTCAGCATGATAAAGATGTGTGTTTATGTTACAATTAGTGTGTAATTTCAGTGCATGGTAGAAAACTGTTCCCTGTGAAACAAGTTGGGATAAAACCAGCAGGCTTTGTGTCTTACTGCACTGATAAAGCACCATAACAATAGCACACTATGACAAAAATTAATGGTTAATTTGAATGTTTTTTTTATTATTATTTTTATTACTGTTTAGGATAAATTAAAAGATTATTATTGCAGTTATAGGAAGAGTAGTTTGCTGATCCTGAGGAGGAAGTACTGCAAAAGCAGAATTATTCCAGTTGATGGCACATGTCTAAACACATCTACAGTATGTAGAGAATTTTAATTACTTTCATGTAATATTGCTTAATTCAAGCACTAGTCACAAACTACAGTTTGTAGACATAACTGCTCTTTTGTTAAACCTACATTTGATACATACATTTTCGGTTGTCCTAACCTACATATTTATGCTTATGTGTTGCATTGCAGATGACTGAGTAATATAATATCAAAATGCATTTCATTCTAAATGCATTAAATTATCTTATTTAAAGATGATTGTAAAATACCTGGATCAGTGTATTTGAATTGGATACAGATAGAACATTAAAATGACAGTACATAGAAATGTGAAAAACATGTTTGCAAAAATGCAGTAATTTTTTTTTATCAAAAAGTTACTTATAAAATTTTTAAAAACTAATTGAACTCAAATGGCTCATGATTCCCTTCAAGTAAACAGTCCCATTCCTGATTTAAAAACAAACTTTAAGAACATCAACAAAGACACAGGAATGTAATAGTAAAGTATAGACTGCCTTATAAATTATTCTATAAAACCATAACGCATATCAAACAATGCTGTATGCTGTAGGAGCTTTCAGTGGTTCACACTGGCAGTAGGACCAGCATCTTCCTCATGGCGACTTCTTGGACGGGCATCTGTTTGCTCCTGATTCCCTGACTACTAACCTCATTATTCACACTAAGCAGGATGGTCTGGATGTCTTTACCCCTGGAAACATAAAAATTAATTTAGAAAAATATTTTTTAATAGTGCATATAGATTTTGTGCATGTAATCCTTTATCGTTTTCTCTACTTTGTCTACTCAAATTATCATAATGAAAAAAAAAAAAAAAAAAAAAACTGCATGTTACAAACTTACGTTGGACAATGCTGCTTTAGATTTCGGCAAAGTGACTGAATAAACCAGGAGCCCTCTTTTGGCCTTCTATAAGAAAGGTGACCATCAGTGGTTGACCTGGCAATAAGGAAATCCGTGTCAGCCGGGATTGTGATATCAAAATCATCACCATCTTCCTCCATCTCTGACTCTCCATCATCTGGAGCATCCGCTTGGACATGCACACGTTGCTGATTTCTTTTCCCACGACATGCTTGTATGACAAACAGCTTGGGCTTGCCGGCTAGCCTCTGGCAGTTATTGCCATTGAAAGGCTCTCGTATTTCATCAACAGAAATAACAGCACCATCGGTTCCACAGACTCCTTCCTTTATGCCATGCGAGAGGATGCAGCACACAAAGCAGTCTCCATCTACTGTCTTCCCCACGTCCTTGAGGAGATTCTTCATCTCAGCTGCAGTTTTATTTCTGTGCTCCACCACCTTAAACCCCAGCCAGTGGAACACTTCGGCAAGACTCTCTGGGGTTTAAAAGAAAGAATAAGAGCAACTCCATCAATCCAGCTGAACAAATAATTCTAAAAAAATCATATTTATAAATAATTACAAATATTATAATTTATAATTGAATACAAATTTGAATTATTCTTAAAACTATTTCTAAAAGTATAAATAAACAGATAATTATAATTATTCAAGCGAATCCAATTATTTAAAGTTTTCCTCACACAATGACTAAAAGTAAATACGTTTAAGGAGTATTTCACCCCAAAATGAAAATTTACCCACTTTTAGGCCATCCGAGGTGTAGATGAGTTTGTTTCTTTGTATCAGAACAGATCTGGATAAATAAAAAAAAACGGCCCTGATTACATCACTTGCTTACCAATGGATCCTCTGCAGTGAATGAGTGTCATCAGAATGAGAGTTGTTGATCAAAAACAGCTGATAAAAACATCACAATAATCCACACAACTCCAGTCTATCAATTAACATCTTGTGAAAGCTAAAAGCTGTTTTTAATAAATTATTGTGGTGTTTTTATCAGCTGTTCCAAAGGCACCCATTTACTGCAAAGGATCCGCTGGTGCACAAGTGACGTAATGCTAAATTTCTCCAAATCTGTTTTGACGAAGGAACAAACTCATCAATATCTTAGAATGCTTGAGGGTGTGTAAAATATCAGCAAACTTTAACTTGTGGATGAACTACTCCTTTAAAGTATCTTATGCTAACTACCTAAATACATCAAAAATGTTTAAAAAAACTAACTTTGGTCCTCATCTGATCCCCTTCTTTCATCCATGGTTGCAAAATCTACATTATTGATGATTACGCAGATACCACGTGGAATTTGTTCTATTTTGTATTGAGAGACCTGAAATAAAAGCACATATGCACCTCAATGGAACAGAATATACTTGATTGCCGCATTTACAGTAGAATCTTTCAAATATGAACTTCACCTCCTGCACTGGAGAGGTGTGTGGCATGGCTGGAAAAGCAATAACGGCACGATCCTTTAATTTTGGAAAAGATGCCAATATACAGTCCTGTCTTAAAAGGTCTATGAACTGGCGACAAGTATCCTCCCCCTTTCCCATGAGTTTGTCAAGTAGGTTGATGACTTTCTCCTCTCTTTTAGTAATATCCGAGAGGTTCCTGTAGTCACGTTGAGTAACAAGATTAGCCTGCTGCACATGCTGCAAGATGATTTCGGGATCTTCAGATAAAGTCTCCAAGAGGAAAGTTTTATTTTGGCGGATTCTGTTAAATGATTCTTTTTCGCCCATAGTTTAAAATCAGCCCTGAAGAACTGGAGAGAAGAAGAAGAGAGAGGTTAGTCTATGTAAGTTAATAATTGTACGCAAACCATCTTCAGTACAGTGAAATTGTTCTTATTCACCTCAAAGCAAAGATGCATGCTATACAATAATATACAGAGTTAAAAAGTAGTCAATAAGCTAATAGCCAATAGTACTGACATGGACTAAGTGAAACAAAAGCTCTGCTCATACATGATTAACACCAAGTAATACAAACCAGCTAAGTGGCAGCTTGTGCACGCAAGTTTGTAAGTTGCACAAGCTTGATGTTCACACAAGGAACATTTCATGTTACAGCATTCAGGTGAGCCATAAGTTCACTATTATGTTATAAATCGATTTATTAATAGTTCGACATGGAATACTTACTTGACAATTTACTATTATGTGTTTATGACTTGAGTATTACATAGATCGATTTACGATTCTCTGACGAACCGGATAAAATAAAATGCGTTTATAGAGCAGTTTCTCAACTATTTTTTTGCTTTCGCTTTCCTGTAACGTTATTAGGCTACTTTGAACACGGAGAAACTGTAGCTGTAGCTAACTTATTTGCACTATATATACAATTATACATATCGCAGCCTACCTAATGTGCAGTAATAGTAGCATAGACGCTTTTAGATATGTTGTTGTTGTTAATAAATACTGTTACATTTACAATTTTACATGTAAATCACCCACCGTTTTATCATATGATGTTTTCCCTCGAAAATCGCGTGGCAGCGCCTAGATCAATGAGTGTGGGGTTGCCAGATATTCAAGGTTGCCAAGTCTTCTGCTGGGTCGACGTCGACCGCTGTAAATAGTCAATGAAACAGTAACAACTTAACTTTTTTTTTTAATACTTTATTTACTGGAATTGTAAACAGTATTTAAAACAAAAATGTAAATAAGAGTGTACTAAACAGCATTTACAATAACTCTAAAATGTAAATAAAAGTGTAATTAGCCTATTTATTTGTTTTCCCAGTTGTCTAGAAATAAACTTGCGGCTTATTGAGCAGTGGACTGTTATGGATTTGGATAGCACTGGTAAGTTTGATCCCTCTTTGCATTAATAAAAGACTGAAAATGGCAAAAATGTTTGTGTAAAAAGCAGTATTGGCTGCTGGAGAGGGTTTGTAGATAATAAGACATTTATTAATTATATTGAGTGTGTGTTTACAATGAAATTAGCACAAATTCAGGTCAACGCAACTCTATTTTTATTTTCAAAATAGCCTACATTTATCGAAAAAGATCCCATCAATTTCTTGAAACAAGTTGTGTTTTGCAGTGAATGCAGTTATTGTTAGTCTTCTCTTTTGTGGTCTTTTCATGTGTCATTTCACGTATTTCTCCCATAGAATGTCTACATGAAGTTCGTTCCGCAGTGTATCGAGCTGCTCTAAAGCTTCGCACGCTACAAAAACTATGCCAGAGTGAGTTTTTCCATGTTTATTTTTTACGTGAAATACAGCTGGATGCATTAGCATTATATTACCTCACCCACCTGCAATTTTCATCTCATAGTGAGTCTTTCATTTCAATCTTCAGTGCACCTGGTGTCACTGCCGGATTTGCGCCCAGTTCTAAATACTTTGTGCAGTTCTGGGGAACCAGTGATTAGTCTTGCTCAAGAAGATGTACAGCAGCATCTAGAAGAGCTATTCCAGAGCATTTCACATGAGCTTCCTGATGAGGCGGTTCCTGAAGCCACAGATCAAACCACCAGGCTTCTCTTTAAACTGTTTGACAGGTGAAAGATAACTCTGTTGATTCGACATTGTATGGTCTGTTTTTGTATTTATGCATGTGCACTTTAAACTTTCTGCTTTCTTTTAGAGAGCAAACTGGTGTTATTCTGCTCAGGTCAGTGGAGGCCACGCTGATCGCCCTCTGTGGAGACACTCTCTCGGCTAAACAGAGAGGTCTGTTCCACATTCACTTAATTTCTATATCTTTCAGGATGAAATAATGTTGCTAGGATCATGGCAACATTGTTTAGAGTCTGTGTTTGTCTCATTTGCAGGTCTGTTCCGACTGGCTGAGAGCTACAGTGGGAATCAGGAGAGTGACAGGGGCTCTATCAGTCGAAGTGCACTCAAAATCCTGCTGGAAGACCTCAGCCAGGTGAGAGAAACAATCCAATGAATTAGACCCACTTCTAACACATACTAGCAAATTTCTAACTAAAAATGGTCTGGTTAAGGTTCCAGCAATGGTTCAGGAAAACCATGTTTTTGGTCAAGCTGAAGCTGCAGTGTGCTCTTGCTTTAATGGGGTATAGTATATTTTTCCAATAACTAATGACTGTTTTTACTGTATTTATGATGAAAATAAATGCAGCCTTGGTGAGCATAAGATACTTCTTCTAAAAACATTAAAACAACAAGAGGACCATCCTATTTTGTGGTCCGTGGCAACAAAAAGTTTGAAAATCCCTGATTTAGCAGAATATTTTATTCAAAGCAACATACAATACCAATTTTCTCTCAGGTAAATAGTGCACGTGTGACTGAAGAGCATTTTATTGGCTGGCTGCAGTCAGAACCCCGGCTGCTATTATGGCTGTCCACACTCTACAGGATTTCAGTGAGTGAAGCTGTACAGCACAGAGTCCGCTGCCATGCCTGTAAAGCCTTTCCTATCACTGGCCTCAGGTATGCTTTTTCATAGTATTACCATACATACTTCATGGGGTTTTAAGCTGTACCACTGGCCCACAGCTGTGTGCATGTACACGGTGTGTAGAAAAGTGTTTGTAATATGAATAAAACTAGCTAAAACTGAAATAATGAATAAAAGAAACATAAATGACAAAAAAAACATAATTACTGAAAATAAAGCTAAAATGAAAACATATTAAATTATATAACATAAAATAATACTGCTACTGTATGTTTGTATTGGGGTTGACATGCATGCTGTCTGGTAGATGATAATGGTATGACCTGTCCATAGGTATCGCTGTTTGAAATGCCTGAACGTACACCTGTGCCAAAGTTGCTTTCTGACTGAGAGACGCAGCAGGAAACACAAGCCCTCTCATCCTGTACTGGAATATTGCACTCAGGTGTGCAAACAAGCATATGATGTTTTATATATATTAACTAGGGTTTTTAATTCAATGCCTTGACTTAGCGTTTGTCTGTTTATTCATTTAGAAATATTATAGAATTTGAAATATTAGACATTCAGCAGCTTTTCATTATAGGCCAGGATTTTAATAACAACATAAATGCATCCATAGCAGGATAGAGTGATGTGAACTGTAGGCTGGAATAGGCAAATGCAATGAAATTCATTAAATAAAAAAAATATATATTATTTTAAGCCATTTGGGTTACTAGGACACAGGAACCATTTTACTATTTACCACACATACAGTATACCACCATTATGTATTCAAAAGCTATTCTCAGGAAATATTAATATGTGTTGTCAATAATTAATTAATTATTTAAAATATGAAATGACAAAAATAGTAACTGACAATACTTCTACTCTTTTAATTATGCTATATATATTATGGTTATATACATTCTTTGTTCAGCCATCCTGGAAGGAGTCAATGGCGTCACTGGCCTCTAGTGCTCGACACGCTTTGGTACCTCGACACGCTCGGAGAGAAGCAGAGAGGAAGAGAGCCCTGAGAGCAGGCTCTAGTGCAGAGCTGCAATACAGGTACACATTTAGCATGTTTACCATGTGTTTTTCATTGATGAAATACAGCATATAGATGATTTCATGTGTCTTTGCAGTGCCCCTTCTCCAGTGCTGCAGTCTGTAGCAGATCCAGACATGCATAAAGCTCCTGAAATAAGTCTGACTGCCACCCCTGCTGTGGTTCCAGTAGAGTCTAAAGGCCTGCAGACAGAGGAGACAGAGATTCCTCAGGTTACTTACCTGCAACGTTTCACATTATAGAGTGCAACAAGGGGTTCCTATAAGAAAATTTCACTCTATAGATTATCATAATGATACATAATAAATTATGCCCCTGGGTTTATTTTTTTTACTTTTATGGTGTTATAGAGAGAAACAGCTATTCTCCAAAAAGGCCTCAGTGTTACTCAGAAGGCCATGAGGGATCTGCAGAGAGATAAATGGTGGGCCCAAAATAAATCTTTTGAGTATTAAAAAAAAGGGTAGTCTTGTGTACCATGTTTTTGTAATTGTATTTTTGTATTGGGCCTCAGTGTGTTTGTGATGTTATGATCAGGCTCCTGGAGAAAGAGTTTCAAGTGTGGAGAGTTGCAGCCCAGTCAGAGCATCATTCACTGGAGGACAAATGTACTGAGCTGAAGACCATGATGGAGGCACTGAACCAACATAACCATCATCTGGAAGAAGAACTGGACAGAGTCAGACATGTGAGAGGGGTCATAAAGAGGGCAGTCCAAAAATATCTGGGCCTAAATCTAAGATTTCTGTATTTGAATGATTTCCATCAGATTTAACATGAACTAAGAAACTAAATGTAATGCATATTTGTCAGTTATACATAAAGAAACAAATAAGAAACATGTAAGATTTCTATAATTGTACTAATAAACTGAATGGGTTTTAAATATATTTAGAACACATTCAGTTTATGCACAATAACCAGGTTTCATATATGTATCATCAATAGGCTAGGCTTACATCCAATTTGTTTCAATCTCATTTCCCATTTGAACTAATTACATATTGCTTGTTCCACAGCTAGCCATATTTTATGTTAACCATTTTTAACTGAATAAATTAATGCACATTTATGCTGAATTTAATATAATTTTGTAATATAAATGGATGTTTAAAAATATACATTTTATTTGAATAATCGAATTCATTTCGTGCATTTAATTTACGTTTCATTTAAATATGACAAATATAACATTAGGTTTATTGGTTGATGTTAAAACTGTTATCCAACTGGATTGAATTTTTAAGCAGATTCAAGAGATGACAAGGAACATATAACAGGTTCTTTTCATTGTTTTTTTTCATTGTCACAGATGTGTGTGAGGGACAGAGATCAGCTCAGAATTGACCTTTCAGACCTTCAACCAGAACATGATGACAGCATTAGTGAAAACGACTGGACTCAACCTGGGTGTTTAAAACCTCAAGACAGCTCCAGTGGAGAAGAGCAGGTTCAGGAGGGGAGGGAAGCATATCAGGAAGGAAGAATAGAAGTGGATGAGGAGGAGACTCTTTATGAGGTATCAGAAGACATCTCCACAAATCTGGATGACAAAGAGGATGTCCATACAGCTTCAAGGCAGCAAGAGGAAGTTGAGGAGGAGGGGCTACAGGAGGAAGAGGAGGAGCTACTGCATAAAACACAAGCTCTTTCTTTACTTCATCGATCCATGTCTGATTTAGCTCTGGAAGAGCACTCAGACTCAGATGACTCAGAGATGGATGAAGAAGAGGAACTTTGTGAGCTTGTACAGCGACTTCGAAATGAGCTTTCTCTATATACAGCCACAGGTTTGTGCCGTAATTTTTCTAATACTTTGTAGCATTGTCTATAATTAGTTACATATCCAAAATGCAGCAAATGCTTTTAAGGTATGTTAAGTTATTTTAAATATTCAGTAAAAATAATATAAAATAAATATATATTTTTGTGGCCGATTTTTGTTTTCTCTCCATCAGGGTCGGTCAGTCTGCAGAAAGAAAAGCTAATGACGGCAGCAGAGGGAGTGAGAGATTCTGTTTCTCATCTCGTCACTTCTGTGAGAACCACCAGTTTGGCATGATGGCAGCCAAAATAACTTTCCCTTACCTGCAAACAATACAAGCCAATTTCCATCTCTCATTCCATCGCAAGGTTAATCATAACAGCAGATGCTCACAGTGGACTGATGGTTGACAATTCACAATTAATGAAATCTAAAAATAAATAGGTTCCAAGATTTATTCCACTATTTATATGTAGGGAAAACTAATATAGGTCAATATTGGACACTGATACCATTACCATTAAATTTAGAAAATCTAATATCGAGCAATAAATTATATCATTCATGCCTATGTGATTTTATAGCGAATTTATATGCTTTTTTATTGATTTTTGAATACTAGACATTTCGGATGTTATTTTATAACAGTCTGTTCGACAATAAATAAACATTAATATTTGTTTTCAGTACACCATAAATTTGTTACAGGTTCTGAAAAAAATTTGAATATGGAGTGTTTTTAAATTTCAGTGTGAATGCAAAGTCTACCAATAAAAAGGACAAACTGAACGTACTAAAAGAAAGACTTCTGAACTGATGATGTGTTTGATGTAAAAAAAAAAAAAAAAGATCTCAAAGTTGAAATTTTTTGTCAAGTTCTTTATTATCATTATTTGTAGTTTTGGCAATGCTTCCATGGGAACATGATGGCTGTAAAAGGGCTCAGGGTTTAGAAGATGAGTTCAAAAACCTGATGGTGTAGATCAATTATGGTATAGAAAACACCCTCTCTTTCTGCTCTTATTCCAGTGGCATAGCCCCAAACTAGAGCTCTCTCTACTGAAACAGCTCTCTACTATAATAATATCATTTTAATATCACAAGTGCCTCAATTATGCTGTCCCACACAGCTGACAATGACATTTTCATTTTCAGAAGCTGAGATTTTCATAGAAACATTAATTTTAAGTAATCAGAAGCTTATTATAATGTCAAACATAGATGGCCAAGCACATAAAAGACTGCCTTATTAATTATCAGCTAGCTTGAGATCGATTTCATTGTTAGTCTCAGTTGAAAATTATTTACCAAACCGTAGGGTTTGTGCAACGTTTCCCCTTTGCATAGTAAGTAAATGTTAACTGTTTTTCCTTTGACATGCAGATACCTTGAAAAGCGCAGCAGGCTGTGTGGGCTCCGCCCCCAGTCCAGTTACATCATGCAGCTCTCTGATTGACCAGTGATGGCATTCAGGTCAGGGCAGACCTACATGGCCCAGTCAGTTTAAAATTTTTTTTTTGTTTTTTTTCAAGGGGAACAGTAATTGACGTCATTAGGCATATATATAACAGTGGTGATTTCCTCATGCAGCAGTATACGCTGCTGGCCAAATGGATTGATTTTTTTTACTTTTTTGTTTGGGTTTATTTGTTTCATTAATACTACAGAAAATGCCTGCAATTATAACATGCTGAAATAACAAAAAAACGTTAAAGTTATGCCTTGAAATGTCTGTCTGATATGGGTCCCTCTCTTAGGACGTGGTCATTTACACACACATGGATGTGTTACCAACCTACTGGAACTTAAATCATTCTTCTTTTTTTAATTAACAATATGTTTGTCTTGCATCCCTCCTCTGCCATGTGAGGTCCACAGCTGAAGCTGGTCATGCCTGGGTCGGAACCGGAGGTCGTGGCGTGTAAACGTGAAGTCATGCCACGATGAGTGGTACCATCCACTACCAGTTATCAGGGTTGCTAAACGGCTCAGTGTGAATGCTCAGGGCCAGAGGGGCAAAGGAACGGGGGCAGCGCTAGAGAAGCAGTTCTACGTGACTTCAAATGAAAAATGTTCGACCGTTCGTTCCCTTTCTTCTCTCGCTTTCTGTCCTTTTATATTCAAGTAACGGCAGCGGCGTCAGCAGCAGGAGAGGGTACAGTCCGGTGGGTTCTGACGGAACCCAGGGGCACACTAGGCAAGGATGCAGTTTTCTTAGCCTCTTTAGATGGCACTGGCGTTAGGGTCATATCGTCTTTTCTTGACATTTCTTGGTGATGAGGACAAACAGGACAAAACAAATGAGACGGGGGTTAGTGCAGGCAATGCCAGAGACATCCAACATACAATTCGCTGCCCATCTTACCGCCTTAACCCGCAGCAACCACGTGGTAGTCGTTTCTTTAGCTTCTTGATCAATTCAAATCATTTATCAAAAGCTATCCATAATGTTTAGTCGCCGTCAGGTTGCGGCGGGTAAAAACGGCAGTTCTTCGCAGCGACAAGGAGAGACACAGAGTGTCCCTCTGCTGACTGCGGGTGAGTATGTGTTAGAAAGACAACGAGGGGTGTGGAAAAAGAACATTACCTCCTGGGAGAAAACACGGACATAGACATAGAAAA